TTGATCGTTGCACGAATATGTGTAAGTAACGTGAAAAGTTAGATTTATATATTCGAGAAGATCGATGAAGATTTAGGAATTGAAATTTCGGTGTATAAAGCGAAAGTTGTAAAAGGGTGAGTTTCGAGTTCGAGTGAAAATTGATTTGATTTAAGTGGAATTTTTGGAATGTCGAATGTGTAGAAGCAAAAAAGTGATTTATATCGAAATGATTTATATTTCGATTTGAAATTTTTTGATGGAAGGGAAGATTATTTTGGAGAATTTCGTTCGAGCGATATTATATGAAATGTATGAAGGGAAGTGTAAAAGTTTAATGCAAAAGGTGATTTATATTGAGATTCAGGTTTTGATTTGAAATTTTGTTATGATTTGATTAACGCGAAGTGATTTTGCTTCAATCAAAATTGATTTAAGTTTGGTATTTTTTGGTTACAGAATTCAAGACGAAAGAATTAATAGATTTAATGTTTAAAGAGATATATTAAAGATTCGTTATAAAACGAGTTAAGTTTAGTATCATTGAATACTGGAGAGAAAAATTGGAATTGGAGTAAAACTTAAACTGTGGAAATAACAGTGGAAGTTACTTAAACTGAGAGTTAAAACCGTTAAAATTATAGAAGTTCGATATTTATAAAAGTTGTGTCGAAAGATTTAATTGACTATACGTGGCGAAAGCTCTCTAGAGAATTTTCTATGGGTGGAGGATTCGTCGTACTGAAAATTAGTTTCAGTTTAATAGTTTTTGTTATATAATAGTGAAAACTTTGTAATTAAAATAGGGGAATTTGTCAAATATATTTATTATTCCGCGATATATGTTCCTATTCGTTAAAATCGAATTTTAAAGTCGGATATTAAAATAGCTATTGCTACGATGTTCAATTATGAGGTGCACAATAATCACGCGTACAGACACGCAAGTAGAATACATCATTGTTGGTACAGGAAAATGGAATTTGAATCGCGTGTGATCGAACAAGTAGAGCAGTTGTATATCTGATCCGACGGGGCCAGCTGAATAACTATGGCCGCCTAATAAGTAGAATAGATACATATATCTGAATGGATAAATAGAATACATCAATGTCTCTGGAGCTCTAAGTAGAATAGAATTGAATGTAATCGAGCAAGTAGAACGGCTCGCTATATCGCGCCAATGACAATGATCATATAAATCACATATTAATCAAATAAATACACGATATCGTTTAATCGAACAAATAGATTACGTCAACAATTATGCATCGACGATAATTCAACGTACAATTAAATATTAGATGAATGATTAATTAGACAAATAAGAAATACATTTACGACTTTAAACAAATAAATCATGTGTAATAAAATATTAAATCTATGTAGTAATTAGAAGTGAAATCTAAAAGAAACGTAAGATCACGTAAATAAATCGACGCATTGAATAATTTTACATCGAAATATAATATTTCTCATATGTCAAATCGATAATTCGTATTCAAAGAAGACAAGAAATTAAAAATCGAGAAATAGAAGTGTAACAGAAATGCGATAATTTCTTCGTCAAACATTTCGATATATTCTTGCTCGAACACGTTTCATACAATTGAACGAAACAAATCGACCGCCAATCACGTTATTTGATATCACGTTTTTTCTCACGCGAGCAATTTAACCGTTTTTATCGTCAATTTTTTTTTTTTTTTCCTTCAACGATTGTCGATTATTTTGCAAACGATTTTCTGCCACGTGTTATCGACGTGAAAGAAAAACGAAGATCACAGAGGTATCTGTTAAGTATCGACGCGTAACGACGAACGATGTAAATTGCAAGGAATGAAATTTCAAAAAAAAAAAAAAAAAAAAAAAAAAAA